TCTGCTATTTTCCTTTTTTTGTTGCTGAATAGAAATCAAATTCCTTTATGTAAAATACTACAGAGTTTAAAGAGATTGTAAAAGTTCTATACAAATTACTTTGTATTTTGTCAAATTTGATGAAGAATGATATAATACTTCATAGCTGTTGAACTTGCATGCTTTAGAGCACTACAAATTAGGTATTTTTTTAAAGATTAGACTGTTTTGTAGTATTAAAAACTTTTTCAGTAGGGAGCAGTACTTACTCACGTCTAGAATACTGCTTTCCAAACAACAGTTTACAAAGCAGAGACAGAGGGAAGTGGAATTTTCTGAGTGGGGACTGCTCTCTCCCAGCTCTGTGCAATGCCAGACATGCTTGAAGGCCTCACAAGCTCTGCCAGGCCAGCAGAGCTAGGAATAAACAAATTCTCTGGCATGCTCCTTGTAAACTTTACATCATAAATTAAGTATAATGAGTCTTGCTCATCCTCAGGGCGTTAACTTGTGCCTCAGAGCCTCTCCCCTCCTTGGTCAGTGTCAGCACTGCCACCTTTGCTGCCCTGCAGGGACATTGAGGGTTGGGGCAGATGATTCTCCTAAAGGTGTTCAATATCCACTCTAACCTCTGACAACTCTTTCATGCCAAATTGGGATGTTTCTGCCTCTGTGCATGCTGGGGAAGCATAAAATGAACTAGACTGCATCCCGTCTTTTCAGGGAGTATTAACATTCAGGGAGTATTAACCTTCAGTAATTCATTCCAGTACAATGGGAACATTTGTTTGAACACCAAGCAATCCTCTTTCTTTGCTGCATCCTCTGTTTCTCATGGTTTTGTGCTATTCTGCGTTATGTTCAAGAGTTTGGTAATGGAGCAGAACTTCTGGAATTCATACTGGTAAAGGACACTGTGAGCACATCTAGTAATTTGGACAAGCTTTCTGTTTCTGGGTTGTGTTTTCTGGGTTGTGTTTTCTGTGTTCTTCATCCCATGGAATATTTGTTCAAAAGAAATCCCTGGAATCAGCTCAGAGACAACGGCATAAAGAAATAGTATTGAAAATGAAGCATCAAAACTTTGAATGGAGTTCATGCATGCATTCAAGAACATGAGAACACATAGCCCTGCATGTACAGAGGTAGGGAAAGTGAGAGTGAGCAGAAGGAGCAGTTAATACCTTACAGTCCAGCCTGCAGAGCCGCCCCTCGTGTGCCACCATGTCCCCTGGAGCCTGCAGAAAGTAGGGCCTGAAGAAGCGTTCCTGCACGGCCTCTTTGTCTCCCTCCGGCACCCGGGGCCGTGTTCTGCAAAGCAAAAATCACATGGCTGTGCTTGGAAGGCAAGTTTGTCCCCCCAATGCTTAAAAAAAAGGAGGAAATTGAGGAAAAGGATGGAGAGATAGCTTGAGTTACATAAAAGGGCAGGAAGAAATGGACTGATTATAATTTAATTCTTGCATATTTTCATTTAGAAAGATTATCCAGTTAACTATATCATGTAGTAGCCTTAGATTCCCAAGGCGGCCTTTACTTATTTTTGCTTTTTTTGGCTGAATTTCATTTTGCTTATCCATCCCTTGCCTTTAGCTCCACTACAACAAGTAAATGAAATCATATTTAAACTTCCCTGTATTTGAGGATGCCCTTCAAAAACACAGAAGTGACCTGTTGGGAGGGAACTGCTGCTGTTATTTCCACTTTATGACTGAGAACTGAAGTTCAATGAATGCAGTGGCTATTTTGGATGCCTTCAGTAAAAAGCATAAAGAAGTTCTGCAGGACTTTTTTCTTTCACCTGTGAGGCTGAGTTGTGGATATTCGTCCCCGAAAAGGGACACTCTGAACCATCAGGTGTCCTGAACAACTGATCCTCCCCTGCAATTCACAATGGAAACACAATTAATAGTTGGTTAATGGCTTATTTCACTTTAAAGCATAAATATTGAGCCTTACAGTGCATTAGGATTATTTTTATAAAGCAGCTGAGCTATAGTGAGAACACCACTTCCCCAAAGCAAATGCTGTTGGCCTGCAGTTGAGGCAGGGCTTTCCCAAACTCTTCCAGGCTGTGCCAATGCATTTGGCAGTGGTGCCTGTCCCTGCTTATTTTATTTATTCATGCCACAGGTACTGTCTGCTGGTACCTTTGTACTGGCCTGCTTTAAAATGCAGCCATATGGAAACTGAACAGAAAAGTAATTTCAAAAAAACTGGAAAAAGTTCCCTGATGAATGTACTTCTAAATAAACAGCTAAACTAGCACAAGGAGAATGGTGTAAGGGAATGAGACTATTTGCAGATCCATATCTTTGCATCCTGGATAAAGAATATTGTTTAGTAACAGTTCCAAATCTAATGTAACTGTTTGTTTGTTCCTGCTGTGTTCTTTCTGCCTGAAACATCATGTCTGTCTTGTCAGCACATCTCAAAAGGTATCTACCAGCAACAGAGAGTGGGAAGGGGATAGGGCAGGAATTACTAACATGGGAAAATGTCCTTAGTGCTTTTAACCATCTGTGTAACAGGGGAGTAGTTTCATCAGTCATCTGTACATGGTTTCCTCTCCTGTGCTCTGAAACACCTGATTTGTGATACAGTCACCACCTGATGTCAAAACATGTGGCCTAATTTGTGTTCCTATTAATATATATTAGAAAAAGACGAAACAAGGGTTTTTGTAAAAGAAAATAAAACACCTTACTTGTGGGTTTGCAGCCATAATTGTGTAGTTGCCATCATCATCATTAGTAGCAGCTTCAATATGTAAAGAACATGTTCCATCCTCTTCTCTGTTCATTTTGAAATGTGTGTTTTTCTTTGAAATCTGCTTGCCATCCTTGAACCAGTAGACCTGTAGAGATCAGACACACCCCCATAACTTAACAGGGACTAGAAAAATAACAGAAGTTGAAGGACAGCTAATACAATTTTAGAATTGTATCCTTGAACCAGTAGACCTGTAGAGATCAGACACACCCTCGTGACTTAACAGGGACTAGAAAAATAACAGGAGTTGAGGGACAGCTAATACAATTTTAGACTATTATGAACTTTGCAGGTCAGTTGTAATGTGAAACAATGATTCCAGGTAGAACTCAGGAAGCTGAATGTCACAGCTGGGCCTGCCAGGTTCTCTTTCCTTGGCTCTCAGCACGTTACTGCTTAGATCAGGTCTCATCTCTCTGGAAGTTCTGGGGGTGGAGCAGTTCTGTCTCTCCTGCAGTCAGGGGGTTGCACTCAAGGCCTGCTGCATGCTCAGGAGCAGATACTGTGCTTTTGGGAAGGTGGGGAAATGATTCATTTGGGATCTCTCTCCACAGAACCATGTGCCTAGGAGGGATGAACAGAAACTGCTGGGGAGTTGGGTTTTGCTCCTTAGCAGTCCCAGAGAGAGTGACGTACCTTGGGAACAGGAATTCCAACTATTTTGCAGGTGAAGGTGATAGGGAATCCTTCCATGACCCGGAAGTGCTTGAGTCTCTTATCAAAGATGGGAGCAATGTATTTGCCCGTGGGGATCTCCTCGTGCTGGATTTCATCGTCCGACTCATCCACCGGCGTCCGCTCCAGGCGGAACTCGATCTCGTTCATCAGCCTCTGCTCGAAGCTGGAGATCCTGTACTCCTGCAGGGACAGGGACAGGGACAGGGACAGGGACAGGGACAGGGACAGGGACAGCTCTGAGCACACTGCCAGGGCCTGGCACTGCAAATGCAGCTGCGGAGACTCCAGGGCCTGACAGGAGCTCACACACTGTGCAAACTTTGAGATGAAAATGCTGACTTAGAAATTCCATGGAAGAGCAGAGATATGGGGGGGGGTGTTCGCAGGGGTGCCAGGAAGAGGGAAGAGATGAGAACCTTGACTCCAGGTTTCAGCAGGCTGATTTAGTATTTTATGATATATATATTATATTAAAACTATACTAAAAGAATAGAAGAAAGGATTTCATCAGAAGGCCTGCAAAGAATATAAAAGAATGATAACAAAAGCTTGTGACTCTCAGAGAGCCTGAGCCAGCTGACTGTGATTGGCCATTAATTAGAAACAACCACATGAGACCAATCCCAGATGCACCTGTTGCATTCCACAGCAGCAGATAACCATTGTTTGCATTTTGTTCCTGAGGCCTCTCAGCTTCTCAAGAGGAAAAATCCTAAGGAAAAAATTTTTCGTAAAATGTGTCTGACAGAGATATTGTTGAGAGACAAGTGGAGCTAGAAACAAGTTTCAAAAGATGGGCTTTCAAATAAAACTAGGTACTTTGGAGCAATAGAACTGTGAAAGATGCACTGTAGTAGGACCTACAAGTGATAATTTTAGGTTATTGCCTTTAAGGCATTTACAGCATGGCGTGGCAAAAGCTGATAGGCTGAGAAAACTTATAATGTAATTAGGAAATAATTGGCTTCTGATAGTGATGGTGTGAATTGTAACATCTCTATTGTCTCACCCTTCTCATGAAACTGAAAATAGAAATAGAAGTTTTTAAAACCCCCTCTCAGTTGCCCCATCTCTAGGTCAAGAAAAAAGTATTGCACACTGGGGTATTTGCAGCTCTTTTAGACCAATTCTACAAGTGAAAATAAAAAAGACTAAATAAAGCTAGAACGTCATGAAACTGAATTTGTTTTGCAGGCACAGATACTGCAGAGTGAGTCTGCACACTGTAATGACACTGAGTTTTTTCACAGGCAGCAAAAGAAATCACACATGTAATTCCTCTTAAGTGCCTGTCAAAAAAAATTATACTCCTGCACACTATTGATCAAAAGAAATCATTAAAACATACCAAATTTTTGAGGATTTTGCATTCAAGTATTAGTCACCTGCTAATTATAGAGATGAATGCTGTATATTTTAGTTCATAATTAAATAAGGAAAACTATACCAACTAAAAGAGAAAATTAAGAAGAAAGGGAAATATTTTCAGAGTAATTAACATCAGATTATACTTGGACAGATTTCTAGCTGGTGTAACTGAGAATGCAAAATTCTTAAAAGATTAAACAGATTAAGCACTAAACCCAGCATATTGCTACATAAACGAACATTTCCAGATAGTTTGATGTGATTATGAACTTTCTCCTGATGCCCTGAATTCAATCAGAAATGTCTTATCACTTGGCTGTTTTGCATGAGGAAATCTCCTGTCTAGACCAGAAGGCATTTGACCAAATTTCTCTTGCTGTGACTTGTGAAGCCTCAGAATAAGAGCTTCAGTCTGTGCCTCCAATGCAGTGTTTGTCCTGGGCATGGGGAGCCCTGCAGCTGCACTGCTTTTCTGGGGGAAATCTCCTATTACCTGTAGAAGACAAATCAGTTTGCTCAGACCTGGATTTGTGCAGGTTTTAAGCCCAGAGTTTTCCTGCTTCTATTGAAAATGTAGTAAATTTAATTTACTATTTAGTAAATTTCTATATACTGTTGAAAGCAGTAAATGAAGGTGTAGCCAATCCTTAGGTATGTTCAATTTGCTGAAAAAACAAGGTTCAGAAAATGCATCTTGTCTGAAATCCTATAGGAAGTTAATTAAAGAACCAGCAGTTATCCCAAAACACTGGCAACTGGGATATGACCAGCAGTTATCCCAAAACACTCCCTGATCATTTGGCCATTCCATCTCACTGCTCATTGTGCTCTTGACCAACAGTTTCCAGAGAAAAGGGAGAAAAGATGGAGGCAGCAAAACATTTTAGCTGACAAACTCTTCTGCTTTCTTCAGGAGACCAAGGAGGCAGAAGTGGCCAAAAGTTTAGATATTGCAGTGGGGTTTTGAGGAGTTTGTAAGACTTGGGGGTGGTAGAGTTTCATCTCCACAGTCTGATAGAGTTTCATCTCCTCAGCTTTCCTGCCCTCATGCAGCAGCTCTCAGCAAATTGCTGCACAGATCAGATTCTCATCTCGTTAAAGCCAGGGTAGAACTGGAGTTTCTCTGATTCCTCACCAACCAAATGGATCATTTTCCCACGTAGGAGGCAAGAACTGGTTCTAGTGTTCCAAGGGAAAGTTGAGCCATTGGTGTTTCACCCTTGACACTGAGAACAGCCCTGTTCTTTTTAGGAAGGCAGAATCATGGAAGAATCAGGGAGTGGCTGCTGTAGCAGAGGGAAGAAATGGGCTAGAAAGGCATTGCCATTGCACTTTGAAGGCACCACGTTAATGTGCAGAACAAAATGCTGCAGAACAGAGTTAAAATTTGAAATATTGCAATCTGGTGGCACAGTCCAGTATTGTTTATAGGCAGCTGAGTTTAGTCAGCAGTTTTTCATATGGATTTTTTTTCTAGAATCATTGCTGTCCAAAAGAAGTCATGGTATGTTATGAGAAATGAATAGTGTATGGTTGCTGTAGCCATGATGGCCTACAGATGAAACCAAATAATGCTAATAGAGACAATTACATCTTTTTTTCTCTCTACTCCAGAAGTGCAGATCTGTCTAAAGTGATCGAACCAACTAACATAAATAAAACTTAGAGCAATCATTTTCAAGTTGTATGTAACCAAATTGACCTTGAGTCTGCTTTAGATCCTAAAAAGTGAATGCAATGTATGATTTTTTTCCTGGTGATGTGCTGAGGATATTAACTCCTTACAGACTACCTCATTAAGAAATACGGGCACTAACTCCTTTTCAAATGTCTGCTTGCAGAAGAAAATACAACAGAGGAAGGAATGCATTTCATGGGACCCTTTGAAGTTTATAATGGACAGGTTTTCTCCCACGTTTCTCTGCTTGTGACCCTGGGTATAGAGAAAGAGGCATAAAAGAGACACTTTGTGAGGACAGAAGCATTTTGCTGCGCCATCAGCGCTGGGCTGTCACTGCTGGCAGCTGCTCCCTGCCCGTGGCAGCCCTGGGTGTCCTTGCACAAGTGCAGGGCTCTGCAAAAATACATTTTGAATTAAATACATTGAAGTCAGGGTTCCACAGCTTCTGTTTCCTGTGTGTGGCCCTCACACTTCAGTCTTTGCTTTTCTAAACCTGTTCTGTGTGCATATTTATGCTTGTATCAATTTACAACCAAGCCAACGAGACCAATTTAACTTTGCTGTGAGAATCTGAACACCAACATTCAGAGGCTGAAGGTGTTACACCAAACTTCTCATAAAGAACAGAAATCTCTGACAGAAAAGAGAATGCACCTCTGCATGCAGAGAATAACCTTGGAGGTTTTTGCTTGTTTGGTAGGTTTTCTTTCAGGATTAGCAAGAACAGAAAGGAGTTGTTAATATGGCTTTCTGAAGAACTGTGTTCATCACAGAAGCCATGAGCCTATTTCTGAATGTGATTACAGCAGTGGTGTAGGGCAAAGAGTTGTTGTTGTGATTTAGACAAATATTTCACAAAGTGACACACAAAGAAGAAGCCCTTTAGCCACGGGTACAATGTTAAAACTAGGCTGCAGTTCAGCATACTGGGGACCCTGAGGGAAGGAGTACAAAGGTTCAGGCCCTGGTTTGGAGTCAGAAGTGTAGCATTGCAGCTCCTTTTTTGGCAGCTTTCCTAGAACATGAAACTTTTACCGGCAGTAATTCACACACTTGTTCACTACAGTAGCCAGATATTTAAAATTATTATAGATACCAGCTAAAAATTCAGGCTCCTCTTTGGTGGTGTAGTGCTCTGTACAAAGTATAATGTATATAATGCATCTATAATTGTATATATTTCTGTAGGCTGAGAAGATTGCAGCTTCGGAAACCCGACTATTTCTGCTGCATCTAATGCACATTGTTTAGTGTGCATGGTGTGCAAAAGGGGAGTAGGCAGTGGTGCCTGTATTAATATTGTCACAGTGTAGTTTGAAGGGTAAAAGACAAAACTGGCCAAAGCAAAGCTAGGAAATGTGCTGAATGTGTATCTGAAGTGGTTTGGTACTGTTCTGGTAGACAGAGGAGTGAAATGCAGCTTTCCTCCTGCTTGCTTTGCTGTGCCTTGGCAATGTTGCTGTGGCTGCTGCTGGGGGCTGTATTTGTCCTGCACTACAAACAAAATCTCCTCTGTGTGCCAGCCGTGCTGAAGGTGCAGGTTCACAGCATTTTGCCTCTGTGATGGATCTGTTTGGCCCCGTCACCATCATTCCTGACAATCTGAGGGCACAGGGCTGTTATCTGCATTTCACCTGTGGGAAACTGAGACCTAAAGAAGCTGAGGGACCTGTTAAGGTAACACAAAAATCTGTGACAGAGCAGAGCTGGATCATGCTCTCCTAGATCTTCTCAAGTAATTTAACTCCTGGGCCTTTCTGCTACCTGGGAACATTTTTGGCAAAAAAGGGGAATTGCACAGAGTGTAATAATTCCCATTCTAAGCACCTTTCTATATGAATATGAGTTCTAAAATCCTGCATCTGTTGTAGTTCAAATTTATCTTTAGCAGGATTTTATTTATCTTTAGCAGGATTCACTGAATACACAGACAGTATATATATTCAGTGAATATACATACTAACAGTTAGTAGAAGCTTGTAGAGTCAAAATAATCTGATGTTAGGATAGTAACTCATGGAAATTACCACAAACAGGAAGCCTAGGGGAGCTCTACTCAAATGTTGATTACCATATACTATGTGAAAACAATTCTGTTGCCAACTTAATGCCAACACTAGACAAATTTCCCAATTTAATCCCAGTTTTGTAACTTTTACTAGATTGCCTTTTTGGCAGGATGACTCTAAACCCATGTAACAGTTTATCTAAGAAAGTGGCATGTATTGCATCTCAGCATCTGTTTCCAAGCTGTACCACTCCTTAACTTCCCAGTCCAATCTGGGCTGCTCTGCCTGAAATCTCCTGCTCACTTTGGGGTCTCTCTCCTCTCCCTGCTCCCTCTCAGCAGTGGGAATCAAAAGCAGCAGATCCAATGGTTCTGTGTGATCAGTGTTGGGGAATTACTGCAGTGTGGTGAGCTGGCATCTGCATGTGGCCTTGGCTTTTAGTGATCAAAAGGCTTTTGGACAAACCCTGCTTCTCTTCTGCTCTGAAATTTCTTACCAAGCATTCTCTAGCAGAGGTGAAGGATATTCCTAAACTGCTGTAGGTTTTTTCTCTGTCTTAAAAATAAGGCTGCAATCTGAGTCTTATGTACAACACAACCAATCAGCATCACAACCTGATGTTCTTCATAGTAAATGACACAGATGTGTGAACATGGTTTGTAGTTCTTTTAACCAAAATGTATAAACCAGGCCCTGGTGTTTAACTCTGCTGTCCTTTATTATTGCATGGATAATTAATTTAGTTTTATTACTATACAGGATTTTGAGGTTTAATGACATCATTTTTCTATTTTATATTATTTGTATAACAAAATGTTGAGGAGGCAATAGCATTAATTTCTAATGTTTTGCCTGTAAAGCTGAATTTCCTCTGTTAACAGAGGAAATATTTATAGATTTATTTATATTGGTGAAGCCTGTGAATGCTTTCAAATACCAGGGGAAAAGAATTAGTTGCCATTACACATTTATATTTTTCCATTTGCCAAAGTCTCCTGCTTTCCTTTTCTCCCCACACACCTTTTTGATTCTACATGACTCATTCTAGCTGAAGATTGCTGAGATATTTCACTTGCAGGGCAGATGAAGGGCCCCATGGACTGGAGAGGCAGAATTTGGGGAGTGGAGCTCAGGCTGCCTGTGCTCTCCTTCCCTCAGGAGCTGCAGTTCCTGACCCTCACTGAGGTGATGAGACTTGGATTTTTGCTCTCACAGCACTCCAGTGTCAGCCTTCACGAGAGAACTCCCAGCTTTGTGCCAATAAAACATTCTGGGGCTGGAGAGGAGTGCATGGGATCTTCCTTGTCCTCCTTGTCCTCTTTCACTTTGCAGAAATACTGAGACATCCACCACAGCAAGGACAAGAATGCAGGAGATTTTTGTCCTGGTTCCTGGGCAGTAGAGTGATTACCTTTTTATTTCTCTGTCTCAGTCTGCCTCTGTTCCTTTTCTCCATCACAATCTGGAAGAAAAAATGCTAACAGCTTCCTGAGAGGACCCTACTCATTGAGCTGAAATGCTCTTTGAAATGTCCTGCTAGCTGGGGGCCTGTCCTTGGTGCCTGAAGTTTTATTCATGGGGCTGGAGGAGGTGGTTTTCTAGCACCTAGCTCTCTTCCTAGCTTTTCTAGCTCAGCTCCCCTGTTACAGAAGCTGCTCTGAGAGGAGGAATTTCCAGATTTTTCTGCTGCTGTTAAAGAATGCTGAATTATTTGAGCAGCCTGGTTCAGCACCAACACAACACACACCCACTGGCAAGGAGTGAAGCCTGCCCTTATGGGAATGCAGAGTCAGGAATTCAATTGTCTTTGAGCCAAGGAAGACACTGAGTCAGGTCTGCTCTGTCCTGGGATTTGTCCTAACACCTTCCTGGGATTGCATAAAGCCATTGCTGCCCCTTTTGTTGGAAAGAACTGAGCAAATCTGCCTGATACGTTTGGGTGTAACTGGATTTTTTCCAGCTCTCCTGGCTGTGACAAAGTTTCACCTGGCACTAGGACTTGCCACCATCTGCAGGAATGAGGGGCAGGGCCATTTTTTCTGGTAAAAATGACGGCTTGTTGTTGCATGTACTTGATCAAAGTTGCAGTTAGAATCTTGGCAAAGTCATATTTGTATTTCTGTTAGCACCTCCTGGTCATCATGGCTGTGGAAGCCCAGAGAGGAATCTGCTCTGTCTCCTGCAGCATCAGCAAAATTCCCAGCTCTGCTCTGATGCTGGATTTCTCTATTGCTGGTGATGAATGATGTACTGGATGAAACAGAAGGAGTGCATCTGGATTATCAGATATCCTGCTGAGTGCAGAATGCTGACACTTGGGAAAATCTCATCTTGTGAGCTGAACATTTTTCATATGGAAGTCAATTTTAGATAATAAATAGAGCACCAGAATGCAGATCCCTCCTGTTCATTACTGCCCTTTATGTAGCAGTACAAGACAATCCCAGGACTTTAAGGCACAGGCTTGTCATCTGCAGCATTTGTTCTGGATGGTCCCTGCATGCTCTGCAGGTATTGCAAATGGGAATGAACTCTGCCATTGAAATGTGGGGTCCCAGTACAATGCTCTAAACGAAAATACACCAGAGGACACATTTTCTGAGAAGGAATTTTTAAAGTAGCAGGTAGACAATACAAGGAAACCAACATCTGAGATTCTAACTGGATTCTGTACTCCATTTTGCAGTGATCTCTCACACAGAGGAGACTTGCATTTGTGTTTATGACAGAGTAAGCCCTGCCCTACCATTACAATAATTGATTTAATAGAGATATTCTATGTGTGGAATGAAAATGTCTCCTTTTTTAATTCTGTGTTAACTGTGAGAGGAAAAACAGGACAGAATATATGGGTGTGAATGCAGCACTCCAGCCTGTTATTCTCATGATGCTGACTGTTCTGTATAGTGTAAAGCAACAGGAATTTTGGAAAATACTCTCCATCCTGGCATCTGTTGAAATAGTCACTGCCTTCATTGAGGAGAAAACTCAGGCTTGAATTTGCTGGAGCAGGCTCTTCTCAGATGAGAAGAGTAAAATCAGAAGGGATTAAAGTTGGGAGTTGAGAGGAAAATGAGGAAACCTTTATTGATTTTAGTTCATTGCCATTGGCATTCTAATTACTGTAACAATTACATAAGTGCCACCTTTGAACCTTTCCAGTGTTTAAGGAATTTGAGAAGCAAGATTTAGGTTTGGTCTCATATAGAATAGCAAATAAGTATGAGTATAAATATCTTTTGCTGTCAGCAGCTAACTTTGACACTGGTAGTGATCATTTTGTTCAGGTTTAGTAATTTCAACCTCTAAATACTATTTAATTTTTTACTTCTTCTTTAGTTTCATAGACAGTGCGCAGATCCAGTGATTCCAATGAAGAGGGAACTGATATTTTGTTCCTTGAACTTTGTAAAAGGTTTTTTATTTTGCTAAATTCTTATAATAAAGTTCTCCAAGAAGTCTCTGTCAATTCATATAAGTTTGGAAATTTAGAAATACAGGTTTAATGCTAAAAAATTGAAAGCCCATTTTAGTTCAACTGAAAGAAGAACAAAAACCTAAACTGGTTTGTTACATTACTCTTTGTTTTAAAACAGTGTATGAATGTGTGTGTGCAACAAATTGAGCAACTTGTAAAGCGAAAATTTAAAAGCCAGTGTCCAGAAACTTCCATGAAAATAAAGAAGTTTTACATTCATACCAGCCTTTGAGATGATCACAACTGGAAAATGCTGCTCAGTCACAAAGTGAATTTTCTACAGCTGCATCCCTCATGCTTTCTGTTTAAAGTTCCAGTTTGCTATTCCAAACCAGCGCTCACATGAAAGCTCCCCCTGCAAAGCTGTGCAGCAGCTCACCCACACCAACACCTTTTGTCCCACATCATCATATATGTCTTGTTCATGAGTGAAATTTACTTTAATAACACCTGATTTTCTTACCTGCTGACCACTTTGTTGGTTAGCATCCTCTCTGAAATGCAGTTTTCTCTCCAGGTCCTTTACAAGCGCAGCTTTGTTTTCCCGAATGGAATCTTCTGTTGCCAGTGGCAGAGGCTTCAGGTTTTTCTTTAATCCCTGGGTTGGGCTATTAAAAGAAAATTCTGATACTAACATGCAGCAACCAATATTTATATATATTTATATATATTTATATATATTTATATATATATTGTCATATTGTCGCCTGTATGCTATGATACATTATGGTGGAACCTGTTATTTATTCTCTTAGGAGCCAAAGCACAATACAGGATTTTTTTTTTTTTTGGTACTGTCTTAATGGGTTATCTTGGTATCCCATTCCCATGCAGTAGAAATTAAAAACACGCATCTTAAAGAAAGTAAGGATTGTAATGGTACAATAAACATCTAAGTGCCATTTATATTTATCCTGCAATAATGATGTCACAGTAAATGCTAAAGAAATGAGTGTAGGTGTTACCTGAGGTGTACAATGTGTACATTTGACTGCTATCAGGCAATAATTTAAAAGTTAATACAATTGATCTCACATCTCATTGATCTTTATCTCACATCCTCCCTGATAATTTACTCTTTCCATGAACTTTTACTCCTTTAATTTCTCTCACCCTTTTATGACCCCCAATATCAGCAGTTTTTTGTTTCTTTCTTTGTTTTTATTTTATAGTTGTGGTGTGTTTGATTTTAGTAAAGTTAAGTAACGAGTACAGGTCTGAAGGCAGGATTCCTGGCACACAGTGTGGTGAATTTTATAGACACAGGGCACATTCTTCTGCTGTAATGACAATTTGGTTGATGTATTATCAGCAGGATAGCCAGGAGATTGTGGCTTGCTGGTGGCTACCACTACCTTGAGCTGTACCATTGATAAAAGGGGAAAATATTCCTCACTTTCTGCAGGATTTGGAGTTCTATGGTAAATAGTTTGGGAAATAGTTGTATCAATGTACAGGTGCTAGCCATGCTAACACAGAGTTCACATAGTCCACAAAAGGGAAATTTGCTTCAGCTCCACCACTAAAGAAGAGACTCTTAATACCCCCACTTTGTCAATACATCATCATCCTTATTTGCTTTACCATGGTAGCTGTTTTGTCAAAGAAATCATGCTGGCTCTTAATGAAATTATTTATGTGCAAACCACTAACTCTCCTGAGATTTTCTGGGGGACCTCAAATGTTGAAAGTACTGCAACCAGGAAAATACCTTTACAGAAGTTACTTTTTAGATTCATCTGGACTAGAAAAACCCTTGCAGTAAAGGTACCTTTAAAACTTTACTTCTTGCTTACAATAGGTATGAATGTTTTTACACCTGGTGTAAGCAAAGAGCTTTGGAGTGACTTATCCTGCAAGCTCATGAAACATCTTCTCTCACACTAGTACAGTCTTATGAACCTCTGAGCCCCTACACTCTTGTGCATCTGTTTGTACACTCACATCTCTCCATCTTCAATTCTCTCTTTCTACAGAAGGTATTTGTCACCCTGTTCCTCTAAAGTTCTTCCAAGCCTTCTGATGTTTACATCTCTGTAATGGAGTTTCTCACACACTTTTCATGTAAATAATGATTGTTTTGCGTTCCTTTCTGGAGGAGGAGAGAATTGGTGGACCAGTGTGGTTGGAGAGGTGGCAATTTCATCCTCCAATCCATTTGGAATTCTATAAATATCGAGGTCCAGAAGTAAACCAGCCCTTTTTGCCTTGGACATCTCAGTGTAATTTCATGTCATATTGTGGCAGGTGTTATCCCTTCTTTCCTTTACTGGGTGTAAAGGTTGTATTAAATGTCCAGAATATCTGGATATCCCACTTTTCTATTTTACACCAGACTTGCATTTCAGTGACTCCCTGTCCTGGGTTGACCGTGTGATGCTTTTATCCCCAGCCTGTGAGTTCTCTCCAGAATTTGCCCTGAACCAGGACATTCCCCACTGAACAGCTGGACAGAAATGCATCCCTGTTGTGGTGTGTTGTAATAGTCTGTTTTAAACTTCCGGGTCCCTTCCCAGGTGTGCCTATACCTCTCTCTCCCTTCCCCCCCCCTCGCTGAGTGTGCCCTGTCAATCAGGCTTAACATTCCAGCAAAGGCGTCGTGTGGTTGGTCAAGTTCAAAGGATGCCCCTCAGGCCTGGGGGTCATTGGCCTGTCTGGGTGTCATTCTCCCCTGAGACCCTGTCCCTCCCACCTGGTTGGTGCCTCACCTGTCCCTCCCCTTCCCCTGTCCCTGAGCTTAAAAGCCGAATCAGACCATGTGCTTGTTATTCTGTTGGAGCTGTTACTACGATTCAGACCTGTGTGACCATGGAATAAAGCTCTGGATATATAACCCTCCAGCAGAATCCATCTCCTTTTCCTCCTCACCATTAGCCTGAAGCCTTCTTCCTGAGGTAAACGGAGTTCCTACCAAGCTTGGACTTGTTCAGCTGCCCAGCTGCAACCACCAGCAAGCTAAAGGTGTCTCTGGGGTGAAGCACCACAGCTGCCGCCTTTGGCCCAGCAGCGAGGGTCAGACTGGCCCAGGCACAATCTAACTGGTAATAGTGGGATTCCCTTTCCATTACATCCCGCTTTCCTTGAGTATTGTCCCTGTTTCTGTGCCCGTGTTTGGTGCTACTCACGTGGCTGGGGTGCTTCTGGGCAGTCCCATGGCGTTGGTGGATGGTGCAGCAGGCATGGAAGGCAGCACAGCGCTGAGGAAAGCCACAGGGTTCTGGATGCGCGCCGTGGGGGACAGGGGAGCAGGGGCCACGCTCTGGGGCTGGAACTGCTTCACAGGAGGCAGCGTCAGCGGGGGCACCACGGCCTCCCTGGGGCTGGGCACACACTGCTCACTCCTGCCTGTGGGGCCTCCTGAGGCCCGGGCTGGGTTTGCTGGGAAGTTCTCTGTGGGGTTTGTCCTGGAGGCAGCCGGGGGCATGCTGCCGAAGGAGCCTGAGGAGCTGGCACAGGGGCTGCCCGGCGGGGTCTGGGGTGCCAGCAGCTGCTTGGGGCGCCCGTAGCCCAAGGTTTGGGGGGCACAGGCTGAGCCCTGCCTGTACAGCACGGAGCTGGACTGCTGGCACACGGCACTGGCAGAATTCACCAGCGTGCTGGTGAAAGACAGCTCTCTCAGAGACGCCTGGTGCACCTGCTGCTGTTCGAGCAGGACCTGGTTGTGGAGCTGCTTTAGCTGGCTCTGGTCACTGCACAGAAAATAAAGATGAACAGAATTGGTTACGAGCCCCAAACGAGCCAGTTGGCTGCATTTGTGTGTATGAATTCAGAGAGGAAAATTCAATGTCCTGTGATACAGTAAGAGACAGGAAACTGCTACATGGCATATTGTCTAACATTATGAGGGAAGCATAATATTAGTTTTCTACTAAAATAACCTTTTCCTTCATGTTCCCTTCTTTGCCAGAGGCACCAAAGCTTTTTGTCCACAAATTATTTGATTGAAGATAATTCTTACATTTTAGTATGTAAAATATAAATATAAATCTTACTCAAAGATATTTAAGGGATATCATTGTCAAAGTCACCTTAGTACCTCCTTGCTTGTGTAACTGAGAGTGAGATTTGGTGTATCATAATTTAAATGAGTGTTTGTAAGCCAGGTTGCATTATTTACCTCCTGCTGAAGTGGTTTCTGAAACCAGCACTTTGACTGCTAAAGCTTTGTAGTAATCCACCACAGGATATGCTACCAATGGAGTTTAGGTGGTGTTGACACTCAGTGACAGGCAGGAGTGGATAATTCAGAGAGGACTTGCATTCCATGCTGTTGTTGTTTTTCTAGATGATATCTACTAGGTAGTTTTTCAAGGCTTTCTTACTTTGCAGTTAAGGAAAATCATTTTGCCTTGTCAAGAGGTTTATTTAGTTATTATGTATATAGAAATACAGCACATGGAAACAGGAGAGCTTTTTCCCTTCCAAAACCAGAAAAGACATAGAAGATATGGAAAATGATTGTGTAATAAACTATGGAGTATTTAATATCTACTGATAAAAAGTGTAATATGTGGATGTAGAGACCAAGCACAACAGCTCCTGACAAAGCAAATACATACTCAACATAATTGGTTTTAGTTAAAAGACTTGTTTATATAATGTACCACACAAAAATCACATTAAAGGCAGAAAAAGATAGCAATTTCAAGCTTTCATAAAGGAGAATGGTAGAGGTAGTACTTCTGTGGGCCTGATTTTGTGCCCTTCATGTATACATCTGCACAATAAAGCAATTCTTGGTAACACAGCTTTTTTGGGAGGGGGAGCTGAGAGAAATTCTGCTCTATGCAAGCATTGGGCACTTAAAGACTGGTTCTGTCCCCCCAAAACTCACTATAGCTCAGAAAGTGTGTAGGGCTGTGAATGTGGGCTTCACAATTCAAACCCCGTGCTCTGAGTTCTCCCTGTGCCACAAGGAGTGTAAGTTCTGTTTTCTTGTAATGTTTATGCTATGGAATTACATCCTGGCTTGAAAGTTCCAGTGAATTACTTTATGGAGTCATTCCTGAGCCCTCAGGAAAAGCCTCTGCATATTCAAGAAATTAAGATGTTTGTGTGCTTGTTGTTAAATTATGTGAGGGAGGTTGAAAAAATGCTGAAAATACTTCCCATAATAAACTGCAGTGTGAATTCCATAAATTGTCCTCTAAGAAAACCACATTACTTCTTCAAATTCCCCCTTGAGCTCCCAGTGCACCAATCACTTTTTAGCTCAAGTGGTTTCCCATTATCAAGCATTTCCAAGTATTTTATCTGTTTTGGGGGGACGTGACGTTTGTGGGACACACGAGTCATGAGGCCTTTGGGATGACAGTCTGTACTGTGTGTTAGCCTGAATGTGTCTGCTTTGGGCAGTATTTCATACCCAGAACTGAGTGAGATATGTCTGAAGAAACTACTTTTATTTTGCCTGCATGAGATCAGTGTTCTTCACCTCCTGATTGCAGCAGAAAGCATTGTGGAATTAATAACATTTCCAAGGGAGAACATTTTCCTTTTTAAATTGGAGGTCACTTTTCCTGACAGGGATATGCAGAAAAAATAATCAAGTGCTGGAGTATTTGTTTTCTTAGATTATGGTCAGTTAGGCCAATACCATGTAATCTCTTTATCCTGCATTTGAGTTTTCACTGTGGTGCAATAGTGTTGTGGTCAATAAATACTAAATAATCTTAGTGATGCTCCTGAGAATTAGACTTCTGTTTACTTACAGCTTTGGTTTAGCCAGCACTGGGGGAGGCTCCTTGGATGGTGATGCTGGCTCTGGTGTTTTCAGTGGCTGTCCGTTTATCTTCTCGGGGAAGTGGTTGGGTCTGCTTTGGTTGGCGGTGCCAGGTCCGTCCTCTGAGGAGGATTCACTGCCTTTCTCATCTTCGGGCAGCTTGAAGTGCACGCGGAGCCCTGCCTTGGAGCTGGACCTGGGCTCGTTGTGGTTCACCAGGACTCCCTCCAGTTTGGGTCTGGGGGCTTGGCTTTGGAGGCTGGAAGGAGCCTGGGGGGCAGCCTGGTGCTCAGTGGCCACAAAGTCGATGGAGCACGTCGTGTGAAGGGCAGCAGTGCTGCTGCTGTCCTCAGGTGCTGGAAGAGGAAAGGTCAAACCTTTGGGACTTGTAAATGCCAGAAACCAAAGGGAAATGAAAGCACTCACTCTGTCCTTCCAGCTGTTGCACTGGCTTGATTGACCTTGTTTGTTTAAGAACAAGGAATGTTGTTTTTCAAGGAATTCCTTGAAAAAGGAATGTTGTAAATGTAGAGGGAAAAGGGACACTGCTGCAGTTTGAAAATCAGTCAGTGGTCTCCAGCCAGTGAATTATTCCCCTACATCTTTGAAACACAAACGTTGTTTTTTCCCCAGAGAATTCCCACACTTTTTAGTTATGAGGAACAGTGCCAGAGCTTGCGCTGCATTGGAGCCAGCAGCACACAGCCCAAATCCCAGCATTGGAGCCAGCAGCACACAGCCCAAATCCCAGCTCTGCTGGATTTACCAGGAGCTTTAAAGGACTCAGCTGGCTCTTACCTTTGACAGTCAGACGAGCTATACTGGACACTGTGCCATATTTATTGCTTGCAGTACAGGTGAAACTGCCAGAATCTTCTGAAAACACTTCAGCAATAACCAGAGTACAAATCTCCTCTGCAAAGCACCAGAGCAGGGTTAGCACTTGGAGTGAGCAGTGACCAAACACACAGAACCCTGACTGCCTTTGGGGAGATTTCCTTAGGGACTTCCACCTTGCTCACTTTGTTTCTAGTTCCATCAGTATTATCAGTTTTGGCAGCCTTTGTGTGCAGCAGCTGTTATCAGCATTGTCTGCAGCAGCTGGTACCCTCTGTGCTCCAGCATGCCCAATGGAAGCAAAGAACAGGTGTCAGCAGAGTGTGGAAAACATTAGAAAATGTTTTCCTAACACATGAAGTACAGACTTGAAAGAACTGAAAATTTAATTTGGAAAAATATATAGTGTACTCTACACTCTCAGCTCACTAATATATATATATATATATATTTATCTCTGATGATTGAAAGATTAATTATAATTGACTGGGAACAATTCAAGTGGAGTCACTCTGTAATGGGGATAAATATAAACCACATACATATAGACTGTTGTTTTCAAAAGTACAGATTTGCAGATAGAGGGGATAGTGCTAACTGTGCTTACAGAAAGTTAACTTTTGACTTCTTGGTGAAGATGACTAAAGGGCACCAAAAATATGCCAACAAAATTGTACTAGGAAAAACCATATTCCATCTGGAAAAGTCAGTCTGGGTTTATGCCATTCCTGTCTGACCAGGCTGGGCAGCAGTGCCAGCTAATAAATATCTGCTATGATGGGATTTGAAGTCTTTTGGTTTGGCTGAGTAGCTGGGAGGAGGAGGGACAGCAACATCTAAAGTGAATTTAAATGTGGGCTGATAAAATTCCTTCACCTACTCAGTGACTATTTTTCTACAGTTGTGCAGTAGACTTTCCTAAACCCCTACAGGATAAATATTCTATGAGTTCTATATTCTACTTTTGCACACTTGAACTTGATTGTTTCATGTCATCACCAAGGAAAACCCAAGAGCAACAAAGAGATTGTTTCCTATCAACTATAGGAGAATAATAGTTTATTATAGCAGTATGATAACAGAACCAGTTTAAGGCATTATGGTATCTAGTTTATCATGCTGGGGTCTGCCAACCACTGCATGCATGGAAATCCAGATTCCTTCTGAATGAGCAGCAGGTGATGAGGCTGTGACAACTGCACCCAGCTGATTATCCCCTAAAAACTGCCTCACATTACTCAGCAGTGATGCCACTGCACAGTAACAGAACAGTGGCACTGCCTTCTGGCAGAAGCTCCATCTTTATATTCCTCACTCTCAGACACAGGCAGTTTCTTTCAAGACTCTTTTTGGGGTAAAAATGTTTCAAATAGGGCAAGGAGAATGTAGAAATTTATATTCCATAAGAATTAATACTGATTTGATAATTTTTTTGCTTTGATAATTTTGCATCTTGGCAGGAGCGACTTCATATTTTTAATGGCAAAAGGCAATGAGAGAGTGAATCTGTCATGGAGAAATATTCAAAGCTACAGGGCTCCTGTGCCCCAGCCCTGTGGAGCAGTCCCCATTCTGGCCTGCTCCTTGGCATCAGCAGGCCCAGCCACATTTATAGGATTTGCTGATGCCAGGGGTGCAACACCTGATGTGCTGCTCTCACATTTCGCTGCTCGGGAGCGCAGGGAATGGCTGACATGGCTGAGCATCTGACGCAATGTTCCCTAACTGGTAAACGGGATAAAAATAGCTCAGCTCTACCTCATCTCCTGTGCTTCAGGACCTCAGATGTACAGGGGACCCTCATACATTCATTTTATTAATCTTTAGCTCGTTTAAATCCTGAGGTAAAACTGGGTCTAAGCAAAGTGGAAGCATTTTCTGCAAAAGAGACTGAATTAATTCACGTTACATGTTTGTGGAACAGCCTACAGTGAAATGTGTGCCACTAGTAGCTACAGAACATGAGGAAAAGAAGAAATTATGTTAATTAAATAATGAAGTTTTAATATTTAATATTTTATAAAGTTAAACCACCACATTTATGTATTAAAAGTTATGATCCTCACCTGGTTCAGCCATAGATCGTGGTTCTAAAGGGAAGAAGAGCAGATATTAGATTGAATATAGTTATTTTTGCCAATATTTCTTTTTCCTTAAGCACTATATATAAAGTTTGACCTTCTAAATAAGATGGAATACTCTTTTTGATCCAATTTTCTGTTTAAGGGGAGGTGAAGGCAGCCAGGCCTTTTACTCAATAATATGTCAAAGGCACAATTGAACAATGTGAACACTTATGAACACTATTGGGAACTTGGGAATAGGAAATAAATTCTCCAAGTAGCTGGGTGGGTTTTTTTCCAGTATTGACACAATTTTATTTTGTCTTGAAGACAATTTCTGAAACTCTGACCCGCATTAAATCAAGATATGATGAACCATTGTTTCACTTAGGTTTAGGTTAGTGTGGTATTTAAGGAATTCCCGTTGAATTTTCACAATTTTAGCATTTCAGTGACTTACAGAAAATTGCAGGTGTTCTGACTGCATTTGAAAATTAAAATTACAGTTGTAATAAGAAATTCACAGTGTTGCTATGTTAGCAGTTTTGTTGCTTGCCTGTATTTTATTAAACACAATATTTTCACACAAGAAACATACTTTTCTGTAATATCCTAAAATCTGGAGAGTCTTCTATCAGTGTTCCTTCTCTATACCATTCAACCTTTGGGGAAGGAGCTCCTTTCACCCGACATTCAAAAACAACAAGCTGCCCCTCAGAAGCTGAAATATCCTGTAACATCTATTAGAGAAAATGAATAGACAGTCAGTAAATGTCTTAATGGTCTGGATGTAACACTGATTTCACTAAGATTTAATAAAGCCACTTAAACCCTTGAATGGCTTAGGAAAAGCATTTTTTTTTCCCCTTTTTTTTTTTTTTTTTTTTTTTTTTTTTTTTTTTTTTTGAGAGCTCATTTTTAGTTATCTCTCTTTACAGTTATCTGACCTCTACTTTTCAAATACGTCACAGAAGAAATTACCTTTGTAAATACAGGAGCAGCAATTATAGGTCTTCCATCCAGTCCTTGCAGATAGTTAGTGGGGCTTTGAGCCTGTGGATTGCAAAACATCACAAGATGATGTTGAGGTGTGCAGACATTATTTATTCACATACAAGAGAAATGTGCTTTTGGAATGACATAAAAGAGATTTTGGTGGATGAAGTCCAAAGCAAAATACCTAATGCAATGAACAGAAATTCTGTTGTGGGTGATCCTCCTGGATGGGATAACAGCAGAAATGTTATTAATTTATTGCCTTACTCAGTTCATCATGGCAAGAAAAGCTTTAGCACAGTGTATTGTAACATCTTTTCTTCATACTTCAGTAAGGCAAATATATATTGTCTGCTTGGTCATAGTCTTTTAAAAATCCTTAACCTACAAAATATTTATTGATGTTAATAAGGAAATTTAAAGTCACATGTGTGACTGCTACTATAATTCCTCTCCTTTGCCAAACCCAAACCTTTTCCAGAGGTGGGATGTCAACCTGTTGATCCTACTCAGTGGAGCAGAATGGAATTGTTTTCCTCCTGGGAAACTTTGTTATGTGGATTGAGTGTTTAATATAGTTTTTTATTTTAGTGCAACAGGAGTTTCCTCAGAGCAGCAGAATTAATGATTCAGTATCTCAGGAAATAGCCAAATTTACACACTGATGGTGCCTTATCAGCCAACAAAATTTAACAGTAGTGATTTTTCAGATAACTATTACCCTTAAGCATCTTCTTTCAAATTGGAAACGTGTTACTTAGTTCTATTTGTTCTTAGTTCTATTCTCATTGTAATCAAAAACAAACGTGCATTAGTTCCCCTGTTCAGTATCTGTTCATTTCTTACCACCTAACCCTGAGCTGTAAGCTTTGAAAAGGCACTGGAAAATGAAAACTTGTGAACTTTTTGGTTTTAAGTAAGTATGGCACTCTTTCCTACCTGGAAAGAATTCACAGCTGTGAATTTGTTGTCAGTTTGCAACAAAAAGCACTCCAAACACATGGTAATGTTAATTGGAAGATGGTAATGTTAATTGGAACATGGTAATGTTAATTAGAACATGGCAATGTTAATTAGAACATGGTAACGTTAATTAGAACATGGTAATGTTAATTTCCTTTGATGTGGAAAGTAAAATGTTATGTGGCAAAGAAGTTTATTTACATATAAAGTAAACACAGCAGTGAAACGATTCTGCTTAAAATAAATTTCATTGGAAGGAAAGGACTTCAAGTGAGCTCTGTATCAGGGAGAGGAAATCCTGCTGGGCTGGAAGGGGCATGAGGCAGTCTGGGATGGGAGAAGGGCAAAGCCAGGTGC